AAACTTTAGAGTAAGAGAAATAATTCTAGCGTCAGAGCTTATGCTTATCTCCAAACTGGTAACCTATAAAGGCTTTTAAAGCATTGCCTATGGAGATTTTTAGGTACCGTAGTTTGCCGCCATTTCACGGGCATGCAAAATTTTAAATCATGACATGTTTGATATCTGTTTACTCGGCACAACATAATCTTTTATATATTTTTTAAACAATAGCAATTTTATTGTGTTTGTGTGCAATACAATATATCTGAAGGTATTTTTCCCTGAAATCATTATTTTATTCTCCAGGGTCTCTGCTTTCAGAATATATAATGTTCAGGGGTTCTAAGTTTAATCCTAGCAAAAATGGTCCGCATATATATGAAAAATGTCAAAATTGCCCCAGATGGCAGGTAGTTAATAAAATGTAATTGTGTGACATTTCAATAAAGTTTGTTTTAAAAAAAGTGAACAGTGCGATGGGCCTAGATCAGTGCATCAACACTGCAGTGATTCAGCAGGACTGCACCGCACACCAGCTGCTATGTTGTACCACTGCGGCTGGTGTGAGCAGACGGTGAATCTTAACCAGATATCACTAACTGCATTTTTGTTCAGGTGGTATTAACACCAGAGACAGTCACATTTTATTTTAATTCCAAAGTCAGCAATCTGCATAGATAGTGGGAAGAACTTATCAAAACTGGAGCAGCCAGATTCTCGCATTTTTAAACCATAACTGATTTATACATAGAAGTACTGATGGGGACACTTAGGAATAGATTTGTGTTACATATGTCCTTTACAGGGGACTGTACATATCATATAGCTAATTATATATCATTCATTGTACATGGATTGAATATTTATTTGTTAGATGTAGATTTTGTGAATCAGTGAAAACCTGTATGTAGCATCCAGCAGTTATGCTACAGCTGTGGTTATCCTCAAGGTGTCTCAATACATGGGGAAGAAACACTAACACTGTGTGGTGGCAGCCTTGTGAATAATTACACAATTATGTTTTTGTGGTGCTGGATACAGGTTTAGAATGGACCAGAACTGTGGAAGCAGGAGCAACTGAGTGTAAGCCGTGTACCGGGGTGGGCTCCCCAGGATATAGTGAAGTCACAAAAAAGGAAAGCAACCCCAACACCAGCTTTTGCCACAACAGAATTTTACTTAGATGTGGCAAATAAACACAACTACAAATGCTGAGAACATACAATAAATTTCCATACACCCAGCCCAAAGGCTGAGACCCTTGTGCTGCACAGCACGGCACCTCCTGATGGATGAAGGTACAAAATGTAGTAATTTACGTACTGGCGGGCACAACTAAGCTGCCACACCTTACCCGTTATTACCCTAAAAGAGCAAGAATCAGTGTATGGGTGTACGGTATGGGCTAGCCTGCGGTGCAGCACAACAGCTTACAATCTTACACAAATCTACAGTATTCCCCCTCCCATAACTGGTCCTGTAGCACGTGCCTGAACATTCCTTCTGAGCAAAACGCCAGTCTGGCTTGAGTTTGTGGAATTTTATCAGCTCTCCAATGTGAAATGTCACTTTAAGTTATGAAGTCCTTCCAATGATCAGTAATAACACTTGTGGCCTGACACAAACAGAGACCCTAATTAACTAACTATAGGCCTGGCCTCAGTCTCTAGGCGCCAACACTGAAATGAGGTGCGTGCACGATCTTACCGACCCGGGTCTGCTTTGCATCCGCTGGTGACTCTGAACAGAACAAATGTCTCTCCAACAAGCATGCGGTATCGCAGTGTATGTTGCTTTGTACCTCTGCTCTTATCAGCATTCCTGGCAGCAATCTTCCTTTCTCTGAACAGGATCAGGGTCTTGGACACAATTAGCTTCACTTAGCTGCAGCTCTGGTTACTGAGGGATGTTCTCACACCTGGATGCCATCAGATTCTCTGCTCACACGGCTCCTCCATTCACCATCCTCCAAACATGGCTGCTCTCTCTCCTCTTCCTGTTCTCTCAACTCTGTGTGAAAACCCCACCTCTTCATGAATATAGAAATATCTATGCAGTCTGAGGCTATGTTAGGAAAACAGTGGCATCTTGTGACTAAACCGCAGAATGTCAGTCCAGAACATTTAATTTACTCCACACAATAATTTACTCTACACAGTGTTCAAAGAATGAGAGCTGTTTCCCCATCTCACATGAGCTCTGTCTGATCTCTCACATTTTTAATACCCACAAATCGGGTTTCTATCATGGAGGAGCAGAGAAGCTGAAAAACAAGGAGTAGAGAAGAGATTTTCTTCACAATTCAATAGCAGTTCACTAGAGAGGCTAATACAAGTTTTTAAACATGAGTGTATGGAACTGTTTTAATTTTTTGATGCTCAAGAGAGTTCTTCTTTAACCACTTGCCTACCAAGTCCGATTCTGACATTTCTCACATACATTTCAAAATCTGCATATTTTGCTATAAAATTACAAACATTATATATTTTCTAAAAGCAAAGGCTCTGGAGATTAAAATGGTGGTTTTTGCAATTTTTTATGCCACGCAATATTTACACAGTCATTTATGAAATGCAATTTTTTTACAGAAAAATACACTTTAATGAATTTTAGTACTCACAAACACAACACAATCCCAATGTTTGGTAAAATATAAAAGATGATTTTAAGCCAAGTAAAGAGATACCTAACAAGTCACACCTTAAACTTGCACACACCCGTAGAATTGTGACCGGCTAGAGTACATTAAATTATCCATAAGCTGCACTTTAAAAATCTTTATAAGTTACCAGTTTAGAGTTAAAGGTGAGTTCTGGCACTAGAATTATTGCTCTCACTATGACGACGAGGTAATACCTCACATGTGTGGTGCGATCACTGTTTACACGGTACTACTTGCATGTATTGCTTTTTTCAAAAACATGGGGGACAGCAGGTTGTAGTTCTGGTGTCCACCAGAGGGTGTCTCCCAGCAGCCAGCAGTTTCTAATAATTGATTTCCACCTGATGCTGGCTGCTGGGAGGGTATTAAGCCCCTATTACATGTTGCGTTAGTGTTTTGCATTGCTAGTCAGATGCTGCTTGACATTTATCCTGCTCCTGATCTTGCTTTGGCCCTGCATCCTGTACCCTGCACCCTGCTTCCTTATATATGCTCCCATTTAACAGTCCTGGTTCCCCCTTTCCTTGCATTTCTAGTATTACATGTGACCTGTGTTCCTCATTTTGTTTATATTGTATTATAGGTAGGTGGTTAGGTATTTAGTTCACTTGTATTTTCATGTTTGCTCTGTTTCTTGTTTGCTGGTGTTTGAATGTCTTTTATTTCACTAATAATAAGTGTACTTTATTGTATACAGTCTGCTCTCAATTTCCTAAGTGTAGCCACAGAGATCTGGCCATCCATGCTGCTTATTCCTGACACCCTGGTGGCCCAACAGGAGAGTCCAGGAAAGGCATCGGGGTGAGGGAGACCCCCTTCCACGTCCTGTAAAAGTGATCAGGCTACTGTAGAGCCACCACAATCACTTTTACGGGAAATCCCATAACCTATTCTAAAAAATAATAGCAGCTGTAGCCTGATTTTGGTATAACCACTTCCACCCGAGGACATACAGGTATATCCTAAGGGCCAGAAGTGGTCAACAAACTGAATGTCATTCAGTTAGGGTTTGCAGCCACTTTAAAAATGAACTCTGGAAAACTAAAAGGGCCTGTCTTCCAGTGGGGCTGTCACTGCATTGCAAGGGTAACTGCTTATTTAGTTTAGGGACATGAAAAGCACTTTTACATGCCTGATCCTCCTCTCCCCAGGCAGGTTGCTCTCCCCATTGCACTGGCAGTAGGGTATCACTTTTACATGCCTGATCCTCCTCTCCCCAGGCAGGTTGCTCTCCCCATTGCACTGGCAGTAGGGTATCACTTTTACATGCCTGATCCTCCTCTCCCCAGGCAGGTTGCTCTCCCCATTGCCCTGGCAGTAGGGTATCACTTTTACATGCCTGATCCTCCGCTCCCCAGGCAGGTTGCTCTCCCCATTGCCCTGGCAGTAGGGCAGCCCTGTTCCAAGGGTGGACATTTTAGTTTTATGTTAGTTAATGTTTTACATTATTATAATTTTTTTTTTTTTTATTATTAATTTTATTATTTTTTTACCAGAAACAGCTATCCAATTGTGTATACATAAATAAAAAAAGTTGCAATAGTAGAAGAATGGTAGAATACATTTCACTTATCAGTATGGAAGACAAATCATGCTGAGTAATCCTTTCTTATTGCATTCCTTCCCCAGACAAATACCTCCAGGATAAACTGATCAGCTTTAAGAAAAACAGTTTCACTTCATGTCTGAATGAAATTTACCTGGCATTACAAACTATTCATATCCTTGTAACAAAAGCCTTCCTGATGTTTTTTTTTTTTAAATAAATACAAGATTTTCAAGTCTGGAGCTTTTAGGCTTCATCAGTGTATACGATTATCTGTTTACAAGGTCTATATATTTCAGCATTACCTGTGCTTAGTACAAGGCTTTGTATGAAATATATTCATTTTCAGAAGTTATCCAAGCAGGAAAGGATAGGAAACACTGCTGTCTGTTCCACTTTATGGTTCTGACTCACGTCATTTGTTATCCTGATGTAAGCTGTTTATTAAATTACTTTTAGTGATAACAGCTTATTGGTTCTCCTCTCACAGCAAAGGTAATATTGTGTTAAAGAGCCCAACTCCAGGATTAGCAACCGCCTCTAGCCCATACCTCCCACCCTCCTCCAAACTAACCACTGGTGTAAAAAAATCCAAAAATCTAACTGAATGTCCATTTTACTTAAAGTGTTATAAAACCCACAACACTAAAATCAGTCTGTATATGCAGTAAAGCATGCTTGTTATACTCTATGGAACCTAAGGGGTTAATCCTCTGTATTGTGTAAAAAGGCTGTCTGATCCTTTCTTCTCTGCCCCTTCTCTTGCTGAAATGACCACCTGATACAGACTGAATCCGTAGTCACATGCACATACTCAGTTTGGTGTGTATTGCTAGAGAGGTTTTTTTTTCTTGGGGAAGTGCATGTGATCAGCACAGGGCCAATCAGCACTGTCCAGACAGAGGGTCAGAGGTTTCACATTTTCCTAGAGCAGAAATAAAACTCCCCCTACAAGCTTTAACCAGTGCTCTGCTGAAGTCACAAGACTGCTCTAACTGCTGATAAGAGGTATTTAGCAGTTTATATTTACTAAAATAATTGGATTTCCATGTTGTGTGTACTGTGGGAGACTGGATATAGTGAATGCAGGGTCCTGGGTTTAGTATCACTTTAACTAAGTCATGGTCATATCATGATACATCTCTCGTCTTCTGTCTATCTCCTTGGTTCTTTCTTCAGGTGTCCACATCACTGTCTGCTTACAGTGGCTCACTATAGCTTTACTATAGGCTCCAGAGGCAAGAAAACTCATGGGAGCAGTGAGGAGACCAGTGCCCAAGAAGATAATGAGCAAGGAAAAATGATTGGTCCCCGGGACAGGATCAGGCGTTACTTATACAAGAAACTGTGACTTTGATCCATTAGAGTGCAGAATAGCTTAGAAAGAGGTGTTTGGAATCAAGACTGAGGAGTAAGATAATTGGTGCATGGTGCACTATTAAATTAAATTTTTCCTGCAGTTGGGCTGTAATTAAATATTTTCTACTATTTCAGAGAAAAATAACTTCTCTAGAAGGCTTTGGACCTGTAATAGGAAACAAAGCCTGGCAAAGGCAACATGTGCACTTTGGAGAACCAGAAAAGGCCATTACACAAAATACTGATGACTCCTGCTACTGTCCACTTTGCCATCCACACAGGAAAGCTGTGGACCTGCTGGCAAAAACATAGGCATGCTCATTCACTTGAATTAATGAGCTTTGTGCATTGGGGATCTTCAGAAGCGGAGCATAGCGGATAATATATAATTTGGTCATTTTATTCTAAGTTCCTAAAATTATTTCACCATTTTTCAGCCGCTACCCTTCAGTATAACTCTGATTCATGTTATAGTCTAGGTTTTCACTTTTTGTAAGCAAGGCATGGATTGAAAAATCCATAGAAATCGCTTTCTTCTAAAACAGACGGTCTGCCAGAGCCTACACTTAACACAATTAATGCTTAGTCACAAGGTACAGTGAGCTGAAATACAATATCGATCTTTGAGTGGCCTGCATTCTCTGTGTGTTTCAGATACCCAAGGACAAAGTAAGACAGGGATAATTGACCACTGAGCATTCCACAATGGGCAGATATGATTAGTGAATTCTTTTATAGGCTCATGCTGCTCAGCAGCTGATCATCTGTTAAAACATCTACCCTGGGCCTTTATGGATGCAGCTCACTGGGATGTTATATCTATGGAAGTTTGATAAATCATTTACTGTGACTTTATACACTAACACGCTTTCTGTGCTAGAAGTCAGCTGAGTCATGGTGGGGTTCAACATAGAACAGCAGATTTATGACACAAATTGCTCTGCAAAAAAGGCAAAAGTGTCAGTGTGCCTGCTTCTTCCAGCTGTGCCAAGCGACTTTACTATTGCGATGTTATATTGACTGTTAGTTCACGTGTACAAATGTCAGCATGTATAAATGATTGATCAGCATGCACTGTAGATCCGATAGCCTGTGTGTTTTCCACTAAAGCAGTTATACAGTTTATGACCAACAATTTTGGTCAAAGCAGTGCCATTCACGCAGTGCAAAAAAACAATATAAACTAAATGTTTATAAACATTTTTTAACTTTTAAACTTATTTACATCTATTATTACTATACATATAATATATTTTAGCAAGCAATTAATACATGAAAAAGGATTTTGCGAGTGCAATGGATTATCTAAGGAGAGAGTGCAGCATTAGATATATCCTTTCCAACATGCTATATCTCAATGAAACATCAAAAGGAGCAATAGAGAGAAAGGGAGAGATGGGTGGTGGATCACTGGTCTGACTTGCGTTTATAAATTTTAGCTGAACTGTAAAGAACAGGAGGTAAGAAAAAATTCAACCCATGTGATAAGGGACCTAAAGACACCTATTGGCTGGATGTAAGAACACATTTTATATTTACTTGGCTTAAACTATTTTTTAAATATCTATAGACTATTAAGTACTGACCTCAATAAATAAAATATGAAAAAAGTATATATTCCCCTTTATGATGAATTAATACTGCCTGCAATTATTTTTAATGGACCTAGACTAGCACTGATTTGGCACTGGGGGTAGGCTTCATCACTTCTTGTGAAATGCATTAGTCAAAGCAGATGCTTACTTCTTCCTGGAGCACAAAAATGGACATGAGCTAATGAATACATGACTTTTGCATGCATTTTTCTGCATAAACAGCTTGTAATAATGGCTCAGCATAGTTAAAGGAGAAGTACAAGCAAAGCTCTTTTGGCTGTTCTTCTCCTGTAGATCACAGGAGTGCAGTTCATTCTGCATTCCTGTGACCCTTTTTTCAGCCGACAGCGGGCTGAAACCTGCCGGTCTAGGCTGGGGGAAGTCGGGATCCACCCCAGAGTCTGGCGCTGCACAGGGCTCAGCCTCTCAGTGACCTGCTGAGCGCTTGAGCCAGTTGCTCCTTCCTTCTCCACAGCCCAGCACGCCAGTGAGTGTGGGGGGGAGGGGCAGAGTAGACAGCACTGACTTGACTGACCGTCATCACTGCTCAAAGCGGCTGTGAGAACTCAGTGGTCATGTAATCGCTGAGTTCTCACCCTTAGATCCGGTGAGGGACAGATGCAGCATAGGACTAAGGTAAGTATAATGGGGGAAAAAAATAAAAAGCCATACTTCTCTTTTAAGAAAGTCTTGCAACAATTTTTGATAATGTGTTATGTTCACCAGGGGACAAATTACATTTGGTATTTTGTCCCAAATTCCTAGGTGCAGTCTAAGGCTAGCTGTGAAGTCAGACAGAGCAGCCCTCCTCCCTCCGCAGCTGTCTGCAGCTAGCAAAGTGAGAAAGTGCTTGGAAGTGGGGAAAAGTGCCTTTTGTCAAAGCACTCTTCTTCTTTCTAGCTGCATTCTCGGCCAGCCTTGGTAGATGGAGTAGTGCCCTGCCTGACCGTACAGCTAGCCTTAGGTAGCACATGGGAAGATGGGACAAAGTACTACATGCCCTCGGTCCCCTAGGAAACAGAACACTTTATAAAAATTGAAGTGAGACTTCTTCTTTAAAAAAAATATTTCCCCCCTCTTGGTAGTGCTGTTCCTATACCATCCCTATTAAATCTTTTGCTATACTGTACTCATGATTTTGCACATATACCAGTTAGGAGTGAGAACTGTAATTGTTATTAAATTTAGTTACCTAATTAAATTGAGACATACTGTATACCATATCTGACTATACAAATATTAAAGGAAAGGTTCAAGAATAAATATTATTACTATACAGTATTTATAAAGCGCCAATGGTTCGCTCAGCGCTGTACATTACAAAGGGGGACAGAACATGTGACAGAACAATACCAATACAATGCAAAACATGAATAAATATTCATATATTTATACTCAGCTAGATAGTTGCAGCATCGATCCCAGCTGTAGCTGTCCCCTGTTGCCTCTAAGACTGAGAACTGAACAATCAAAGACCGCTGATCACCAAGTTCTCCGTCTTCAGCTTGCAGTGAGACGTTGTCTGCTCTGCCTCTCCAGGGCTCACTTGAGCGCCGGGCTGAGGAGGGGGCTGTAGTGGCTGGCTCAGGCTCACAGCAGATGGCTGAAAGGCTGTGCTAGCTGACGATCCAGGCATCTGGGTGGATCCTGACTTTAAAGTTGGGATCTTCCCATGGGCTGGTTGAGTGATGTTGCAGGGTCCCAGGAGTGCAGAATGAAGTGCTCTCCTGTGATCCATAAGTATAGCCAAAAGAGCTTTGGCTCTACTGCTTTAAATCTGACTATACTTAGAGGAGTAACAGTAGCTCAATGACGAGGTCATATTTGTGCTGTCTCCTCCACTCACCAAACTCCTTTTTTTAGATTAGCAGCTCTATAGGGTATAGTAACACCTAAATGTTGCCATGTAAGAACAAGATGGACAGAGGAGAGGTGCAGGATATCACAGGGTAAACATCAACATTAAATATTTAATGTTCTGCATTAATATGAGTGAAGGAAGCGGATGAATAGTGACAAGAATGACAAACACAAATAAGTAAATGTATCCATCAATTTTCCTTTTTTCACTGGTAGTTGGGAGTCTTGGTAATTATATTTTCATGTTTGTTTATCTGCTTATGTAAATATAGCTTGCCCTGAGCATTCACACTGCCTGAGCCAAATTGCTTCTTGATCTATGGAATTAAAGTCTTTCATGTACACACTGTAATATCGCAGCACCTATCAGGTCTGACTGATGTTGTCCTGTGCAGGGAACTAATTTATTTAGCTTTATATTCAGCTTTGCCAATGGAAGCAAGCAGAGAGAGACGAACGCTTTTTCTATACCTCCTCCCATTTGGAATGATATGAAAAAATATAATTTAGCTTAAATGGTAGTATTTTTTTTTGTTATTTTAAACAAGCATTTATAGCACTAAAGCAGATAATTAAATTAATTTATCTACAAACAAGATTTAAAAGACAAAAAAGTAAATAGGGAATTAGATGTTGTGCCAAAAGATACTGCGGGCATCACCTATCCAAGTGATTATACAGTGGCAGGTTTGGCATCAAAGCCTCCTTGCAAGTAAAATTTATGCTTGAAGCCCTTTCAAAGCACATTGTCCCCATTATGCCAGCCTACGTTAAATATGACCAGATGGTTTACTTAAATAGACTCCGAGTCTTTCTCTGTTCAAATATTTGATAGCGAACTTGGTATTTTCAAATTGTTTTTTTAACCTGGATCATAAATGTTTTACACAAAAATGCATGAAAAGTGTGTGCTGAAAATCTCTAAATTTAAAACTGTTTTGTCTAAATATGGGTCTCAGGCATTCTGATGTCATCAGGTATAGTACAGAACCATCAGTTCTGCATTATAAATGAGGAAATTGAGGCCTGATTGCAAACTAGAATGCCAGAGAGAAAAGAGTGCTGGCTGCCAGGGAGTAAGGTTTAGGGCC